GTTTTTGCCATGGAGGAGAGGCACTCTTGGGCCATAAGATTTGTGCTAAAGTGTTTTCCAGTTACCCTCCTGCAATCAATGTGTGATCTTGTGATCTGCATTTTCTCTAACACTTGGTATTGTCAGCCTTCTAAATTTTTGATAATTGAGTGGGTATAATCATTGTGGTTTTGATTCGCATTTCTCCTTTCCTTTTGAGGCTGAATATCTCTTATTATATTCACTGGCCGTATTTTGTCTTCCACGATATGGTGCTTCATGTCTCCTGCCTAATTCCCCACTGTCTTATTTGTGCTTTTCTTACTGATTTCTAGGAATTCTCTATACATGCTTGACACTAATCCTTTGTTGGTTGTATTTTGTAAATCATTTCCACTTTTTTTTAATTTTATTTTTTGTGAGGGGGAGGTGATTAATTTTATTTATTTATTTTTATTTTTAGAGGAGGTACTGGGGATTGAACCCAGGACCTCATGCATGCTAAGCACACACTCTACTGCTTGAGCTCCACCCTCCCCCTCGGTTCCCACTTTTTTTTATGGTGGCTTTTGATAAACAAATGTTCTTAATTATACAGTAGTCAAAATTATCCATCTTTTATATTCTGGGGTCTTAGTTAAGAAATCCTCTCCGACTTCAAAATCTAAAAGAGACCGACTTTGTTTTCTAAGAGTACTACTTAGTGATAAGAGTGTCATGTATCACTGTCCCCTTTAAAAAAAAAATCAGGTGCAGGAAACAAGTCTGATTTTTGTTGGGTTTTTGCTAGTTGCTGGCAGATTAGACTTGGTGTGAAGTCATGTTTTCTGACTTGAAATATATTTTTTGTGCTCCGTGGGTCTTTCTCATTTAAAAGGGGTCACTGCCAGTGTTGCTTCCAGACTTTACCTCATGTTGCGTCTGCAGTCATAACATAGGGCCGGTCCCTCCTAAAAGTCATGGGTTTTCCATGCATTCTAGGGCCCCCAGAGTCCCAGGGATGAGGTGAAGTTTCTCCTGGGCTGAGGCAGGCAAGGAGTTCTGCAGGCAGCAGCATCCCCCTGTGGCCAGGCTGGCTGCATTCGCCCACGGGCTGGGTCATTCCCAGGGCTGCATCGTTCTCTGGAAGGAAAGTGTTATGAGCCTCAGACTGCAAAGCAGACAGCTCACAAGTGGCTCAGTTTGTTATAGTCCAACCAAGGCCAGTCTTGAATCAGTCAGACAGAGCTCCGTTTTCTGAGTCAGAGCTGTAACTAAGACCATTGGGTTGAGATAGAATCGAAACCCAGAATGCCACTGCCTCTGGTCACATCACCTCCTTTCAGACTCTGAGAATTCCTGTCCTTCCCCCAAGTCTATGCCCTGAAATGCCACCTGCTGCCCTAAGGGCCCATGTGGATCAGCAGCACGAGGAACTGTCAACCAGGGCCAGCCCTTATCCCAAGCGGGGATGCACGGCTGCTCCCCCCATGCCTGCTCTCCTCTCTGCCCCTACTGCTCTCTTCCACCCTCCCACTCCCCTCCGCTGGGGTGGAGTTTGCCCTGCCATCACCTCCGTCCTCTCCCCTCCTGCCTCCTCGGCCTCATTTTGGTGTTGGTTGCAATGCTGACAGTCCCTTCCAGCAGACCAGGTAGTCCTTATAGGCTGGGACCAGAGCTCCTGCATCACCCACCGTGTGTTCTTCCCAAATAGAAATAGATTGTCTTGTCCTTGGATCCCTATTTGTCCCCTGCAGGAACCAGTATCCAAAGGAAAAGGTAGTTTGGATGGTGAGTCCAGCCCCACATTCTCCCTTTTTGGTGGGTGCTTGGCCCTCCTGGTTTGTATGCATCCCATACAATTCGAAGCGGGCTACCCATTCTTTGTCCTCATCTTGGAGGGCTGCATAAGGGACCCCAGAGGGCCCGCACCCAGATCCCCATCAGTCTGCTCTGTAGATCTGCAGGGGTGCACTCCACTCTCCCTCCTTTGAGTCCAGGGCACTGAACCAGCAGGGATGCTGGTTCATGGGAACCCCAGGGTCAGAGGGATTTGCTTCTGCCTCCAGTGGACCCTAATTCCTCCTTGATCTGACTTCCATTTGCTTCTGTTTTGGGGGGTTAAGCTCCCACTTTAGGGAACTTGCCTGAGCTCATTCACACGCAACTTCCTTCCCAGAAGTCCTTGGTCACCAGAAGGAGACCTAAGGGCTTGTTCCTCTGGGTGCGAGATGCTGCCTCTCTGTGCTGAAAAGGGGCAGCCCAGGGGAGCGGATGCCCAAAGCGCACCAGCCTCCTCTTCCCTATGCACATCACGCCAGGGCTGGTTGCTTCCGGGCAGGAACCTGGCTGACTGCACGTGTGCAGAGGGGTCTGGTTTTCGTGGTGGGAAATGGCTCCCCGGCCCCCGGTCCCTAGAGTGATCTGGCACAGCATCAGCCCATCACTGACACGTTGTTTCCATTCAACCTGGCGTCTAGGAAGCGCCTTTCTCTTTTCAAGCACGGAGGGCCTGTATTTAACATGACAGCCCGCTGCAGTATTGAGTTAACTATAAAAAAAAAAGGTAGATCCTTCTGGACAGAATCACTATCCACCAGACAAATGATTAAATTTACAACTCGATTGGCGCTGATCAATATAAATGAAATGTGAAACAACTTAATGTAGCCAGTAGAAACAGCTGGCCCAAGACTGTCTTCTCACAGGTGTCCCAGCCTGTCAGCTCCACACTGGCGTTCTCTGCATATGTGGGATTGTCCAAACGTGCTTTTATTTTCTTTTTCTCTTAGGTAAATATGGAAGTGCATTGCCGAATCAGTAAGGATAGGCTGGATTTTGCTGCAATTACAAACCCCAAAAGTCAGTGGCTTGTACCAGCGAAGGCTGGTTCCTCATCATGCTGCATTTCCTGTGCTGGCCAGCAGAGGAGGCTCTGCCCATCACAGAAACCGTGGCCCTAGGCTGGCAGCACATTTACTGTCTTGAAAGTTGCCAGTCTTCCTACCAGGGAAAAGAATGCTCCTAAAGGTCTTGCACTAGCAATCCACTGTCTGGGACTGGAAGTCATACAGGCCCCTTCCGTTCACAGCTCACTGGCCAGAACTGGTTGCACAGCCCCACCTGCCACAGGATGCCAGCAAGCATAGTCCTAACCACGTGCCAGCCAGTGGAGAAATGGAAATGTTTGGTGAGCAACATGAGTGACAAGCACATTTATTTAAAAACTGGCTAGATTTTAAATGAATCCATGGGATCTGGCTCTTTAATGTGATCCTGTCATGGAATGAAGAATGACAGCTCCCAGGGTGTCTCTGGTTCTCTAAGATATGTGTAACCTGCTCCAAACACACGCATTTCAGAGACTCAAAGCAATCTCTGGATGCATGAAGAAAGCGTGGGGAATGCCCCACCTTCTCCCCAAATTCTCTCCTCCAACTATCAGTGAATCTTTACTAACAGTAAACACACCTGGATGCATAACCTCCAAGTGGGCAAATGCACTGTACAAGCAGTGTATCCCAAACGGGGAAAGAATGGTTATTGGTTTACATCAAACCTCTTCCCAGCAACTCCTTTCCTTCAGAACCTGGGCTAGGGGTGCCTTTCACTCCTTGGCTCCACCAAATCCCCTGTCCCTAGGGGAGGCTGGGCAAGCACTCTGATCTACTCAGTGTGGTCTTGGCCAGGTGCTCCAGGCTGTCCTCCAGGCTGGGCTGCAGCCAGCCAAGGGTGCAGCTGGCATCAGAGAGCAGGAGGGTGCGGCATTCAGCATTTGGGCTGCTTTGGGCACCAAGGCTTAACATTCATACATGTCTGTAGCAAGGTTATTTCAAAGTTGTTTTTTATTCAACTGTTATTCAGCAATATACAATACGGTTTATAAACAAATGTCTGACCTTGTTTCCAATCTTTATTTAAAATAAATATTATTGACAGTGAATTTTAATTATGATAAGATGTATCTTTTTAATCAAAATGTCTCAAAAGAAATAATTTACTTTAATAAAAAAAGAAAAGCCCCCAAAGGAAAAAGTAAATTAAAAAATTTCCGAAACACAATAAGCTACTAAAAATATTTCGCTTTGTCAGAAATTGGGCTTTGACCCAACATTTTTTACATAGTATCCTACAGATAACTGCTCAACAGTTCGTGCAAAATGAAGACTTGGAGGAAAAGTTTAGAAAAGAAAAATACATTAAAATAGAGAACTCATTGATCCCAGGCATACGGCGTGGTCCAAACTCCATCTGATTTGGAAACTAGATGCATTATTTTAAGTGTTCTACATTTGTGTGACTTCCCCAAAAATATGATTTATTTATTTCCCATGTGAACTTGGTCATGCTTCTCTGAGTCTGTCAGTGTCCGTCCGCCTGGCGACGCAGTCCTCAGCCAGGGAGCGGGCAGGCCGCGCGGGGCGGCCCGCTCAGGAGCGCAGCAGGGCGGGTCTGTCAGGGCCCCACCAGCAGGCGGAGGAACTTATGCAGCGCTAACAGGAGCAGGGACAGGAGCGGGTCTGTGGCGAAGTTAGGGCCGGTGCCTGTAGGGGACAAGAGAACAGGCAGGGTTAACGACTGATTCACCAGAACCCAGCGGCCAGGGAAGCAGATGGGAGGAGGGTACCTCCCGCGGTCCGCCCTCTGGACCTTGGCGCCCAGCTGGCACGCGGCCACTCCGGTAAGGATGGAGAGTTTTGCTGCGGCTGCTTCCTATTGACTGACCGCATGTTTTGGGAGCCCACGGTGGTCAGACAGAGCGCCCCTGCCTGAAGGGCGTCTGCTAAATAGTAGATCCAAAGTCTAAGTCATTATTTTGGTTGAATAAGACAATATGCTCCCTCTCCACCCACCCCCAATACTCCCCTGCAAAGTGCCCTCAGCGTTTAAGGTCCAGCCCCCCCTCCTCCAGAGAGACTCCATGATGGCACACAACTCCCGCCCTAACGGCACAGCTCTGCATCCACAAACACCCCGCCCGGGGCATCCTGATGCTTGTGCGGGAATCTTCTTTCCATGAACTGTAAGTCCAGTCCCCGGGGTCAAAGTGAGGCGCTCAGCAACCACTGGCTGGGGGAGGTGAGTGGGCTAGGGACCCTGAGGAGCGACCCTCACACTATTCTGGTGGTAGGTCACTCCCATCTGTGTCTTCAATGTGGTCACTAACTCAGGCCCCTGGTCCATTTCTGGGACAGTAACAATCATGCCTTCACCCTGCTTCACGTGGGCTGCCTGCCCGGCTCCCCATCAGTCATCAGGTCTCCACCTGCTTGGAAGGCCTCCTGCGCAGCTGGGGGAAAGCCCACCGGTGAACCTCAGGCTTCCCACCTGGGGGTGGAGATGCTCCCTCCAGGATGACTGAGAGGGGCCAGTGTAGAAGCACCGCGGGCGCCCCAGGTGCTGGGGACATCACTACTACCTTGCGTAGAATCGGGAAGCAGTTTCCAGCCCCACCCTGCTCGCCTGCACCATCCTGAGGCCTCTCTCCTCCCTTTGCCCCACCTGGCCAGCTGGGCTGGAGCTCTGTGCCTGAGAGGAGAGACGCAGGAGGCCCTTCTTTGGGCCAAGCAGATGGTGCAGAGGCTGTGGCCACCGCCACTTGGCCACCTGCGGGAGCTGCTGCCAGGTGGCCAGATGCGTGGCTTCCCCATCCAGGCTGGGCCTGCGCCCAACAGCTTCCTCCTCTTTCCAGGTAGAAGAGCTGTTAGTCTTTTCTATCCAAGGCATTGCCCCCCGGTCCCGAATCATTTTTGTTCTGGCAATAACTGTCTGTGTCCTAGGCCCGTCTTCCCGCTGTACAGGGAGGAGGTTGGACAAATGATCCAGGCCCATTCTGGCTTGAGATGCTGGATTCCATCTGTTTATTTTCAGAAATGAGGCTATGACTGAAGATCTGAAGAAAAGGGTGGGGGCCAGAGGCCATCCACCGTGCACGTCTCATCCACGGTCAGTCATCTGCACGCAGCTGTGAGCCCCCACTGAGAAAAGGACAGGACACTCCAAGAGCGCTGACCTTCCCCTTGGGGTATTAATTATCCACACAGTCGTCACCCAGGCCCCCTGCAGCTTGGCCCAAGCTGACATCCTACCTCTTGCTACCCGTCATTGGGAAGGAACACAGTGTGGTTGCTCTGAAGACTTGGGTCTTTTTTTGCTGCTCCTCTGGGCCAGTGTCTCTGGAATGGTCGAGGGTGGATGTGGTGACAGAAAAGTTGATGGAGCCAGGTGCCTGGGTGCGTTCACTGAGGCTCAGATGCGTGGAAAACAGGGTGTGGCCGGCAGAGCCCTGCCTCCCGGGCACACAGGGCTCACATGGCCAGACTGGGCCCGCTGGCCTCCTGCATCTCCTGGTGCAGATCCTTCTGCTTCTGCAAACCCTGACACTCAGGCCCATGCAGACAAGACAGGAACAAGTGTGTGAGGCACTTAAAAGCAGATGTTTGTGTGTGACAGAACTCCAGACCCTCAAGGCCCGCAGCGGCAGGAGGCGTGGCAAATGGGCCGTGAGCCAGGCAAGGTGAACACAGGGCACAGGAGATGGGAGGAGAAATTTTAATTTGCCTCCAAATACTGTTGACTTGTCTTTCCCACTATTACAGTCTCACCTACTCACATTTAAAAGTTTTTAATTTGCATAAGACCCTGGATTGAAACCATCAGCCTGCCACTGTGCTGGACCGAGATGGGAGCAGCAGGGACTGGAGGGCTGGAGTGGTGGCTCCCAGAGGCTGACACCTGAGGAGAGGGGACACCAGGGTCTGCGGTGTGTCGGCTGGTGGATGTCTTGGGGGCAGGGGGAGCCAGATTTGGTTCCTGGGTGGCCCCTCATCCTCTCCCTGACCCAGCCTTTCCAAAGAAGGGACCAAGGGAGGTGGGAGGGGGCAGTGAGGCACAGCTTCTAGGCCAGCTTGCTATGTGACCTGGGGCAACACCCTTCATCATTCTGAGACTTGTCCACACTCTGTAAAATGGGGATGTGCACAAGCACAGCTCCATGAGATGAGTGTGTGCGGGGCTTGTCTCACTGGGTTGGGGTCCAGATTAGGCAAGATCATAGTGGCAGATTGCAGAAATGGCTACAAATGCCCCTCCTCCCTCATCTTCCTGTCCCCAGTGTCCACGCCCTGGGACAGTGCCCTCCCACACTGACGCTGAGACTGGCCATATGGCTTGCTTTGGCCGATGAGTGCTATCAAGTGTGAAGCAAGTAAAGGCTTGTAAAGTGCTTGTGCACTGAGCCCTGCCCTTTCCTCTGTGGCTGTGGGAACCCACTGCCAGGTGAATTAGACTGGGCTGGCCTGCCCCGGATAAGAGCCAGGAGACGACCTAGCTGAGGTCCCTGTAGACCATCCAGCCCCTAGATGAATGGGGAGATGACCACAGATGCCGGAATGAGCCTGACAGAGACCAGCAGGAAAAACCCCAACCCACAGAACCACGACCTAAACAAACGGCCTGGAGTTACACCAAAGCCACCACGTTTTTAGGGTCCCTTGTTATACAGAAAAATCTAATTGACAGATAGAGTCATGTCAACAGAAGTACCACACACAGTGTGTGCTGTGCAAATAATGTGTTAATGAAAAGGGCAACATAGCTACTTTTCTGAAAAGCGTTGAAGAAGAACTCATTTCGAGGGTTGTCCTCTTAAGAGAAACATTTTCCAAGATGGAATAAGCATGGCAAACTATCTCCCCAAGCGTTTGTTTTTAAGGCAGACACGATCCTGGATCTCTGGGGAAAGAAGGACTCAAATTTTGGAACCTCTTGCTACATCACTCATTGGATACCCAACACTCCCTTTTGGCTTTCCAGATGAGCCAGGGCAGACCAAGGAAGCCTGGCTTCCAGGCTGGTCCTGGGGGAGGAGGGATCTTTACATCAGAATGGGTTAGAATGCAGGAGTGTGGCAGCCAGCGTGCCCCCTCCCCAGACACTGTGCATTTGGGGGGGACACTGATAATTGTCTAGCACTTGACTTGGGGCCCCCCCATCAGCATCCCCTGCCCCCGTGTCTGTCCTCACTGTTTCCTGGAGCGAGCTAGGACTGCACACTGCTGGAGGGTCTGGGGCTCGCCTTGGCCCTCCAGGGCAGGGGCCGGGAGGGTGCCTTTGGCTCAGCTGAGGCAGGACCTCCTATCCCGGCCTTTTTGATTATGCGGCATGGGGAGGTCAGTGTTCCCGAGGACACAGAAGCTGCTGCGATGGCTGGATGCTAACAGTCTCTTCATCTATTTCCTCCTTTCCCAAGGAGTACCAGGAATAGCTCTAGAAGACGCAGAAATTTATGTCACGGCTAAGCTGGAAAATCAGGCTGCCTGAGAGGTGAAGGAAGCATCTGATGGAATAGTAGCTGATTCACTCTTTATATTAAATACATCACCATTTGGTTAATCATTCTTAAAGAAATCAAAGCAGCTTTGGCTCTGTGGGTATTAACTTTTATCAGTTGGATAGTGAGCAAGATACAGTCTATGCTGGAGCCATTTAAAAGGGCTCCCAAAGAACGTTGTGGGTGGACCCAGCCCCCATAGGCACAGAAAAAGTGCCAGTCCCAGCAGCTAGCAGCTGTAAACCCTGCTTCTCTATTTCCTCAGCAATGGCAGAATTCCAAGGGCCGTGTCAGAAAACAACAGGGAACCTCTGGGGCCCATTCATTTCCTTGTGATGGAAGGGAAGGAGGCGGCTTTGCTCCGGCCGCCCTCTGGGACCTTCACTCTGCCCACACTGTCTGGAGGTTCCTGGGAGGATGCAGAGGTGGCAGCTGGTCGCCCCCACTCTGTCCTGGACTCCCATAGCCACAAGGGCCCTGAGGGGACCGCCCCCACTCTGTGGGATCAGGACCAGTGGACACGGCCAGCTGGGACAGCCACTGCCCTCCCCCCAGTGCCTGCCCACACTTATAGGATCATGGATGGTTCTCCTGGCCTCAAGGGTAACTCCTGTCCCTGCTGTGGTCTGTAGCACCTGTCACGCTGGCTGTGGACAGGAGAGAGCCGCAGCCCCTCCCCGTCGGATCCCCAGACTTGGGTCCATCACCACGGCAGGTCTGCTCGTGACCTGGGAGTCGCAGCCGAGGGGGTGGCCTCAGACAGGAGTGTGCAAACGGTGTCCCCCTGAGAGTCCGGTGCTACTCAGAGGCTGCATTTCTTCGTTCTGTTAGTTGTGGCTCTAGCTTAAAAACTGGACATTTATTTCAGGTTCGAGAAGAGTAAGTAAAATCCAGACACATTGGAGGTCCATTTTTATGCATGAAAACGGGTAACAGGCTGGTTCGGGCTCTGGTGACCCGAGCTGAGTTGGAGGCTCACTCTGTCGCTGGCGCCGTAATGCCTGGCCTTGCCCCCTAGGATACCCCTATGCCGAGCACAGGGAGCCAGAGAAGAGCCGGTCCAGTCTCAGCGGATGAAGCCACTCTACCAGGAAGCATGGATACCCTAACATACTAGGATTAGGATGAGGGTCTGGAGGACTGGTCCCTCCACTGTGTCAGGCAGAGCAAGGCCACTTGTATCCATTCAGCCTCTTGTGCTGTCATAACACGTCTTTTGAATAAGGCTAAAAGAGTCAGAGCACCAAGTGGAGTGCCCTCAGCATGGATGTTCACTTCTGTTCCTTTTCCCCTTCCTGCCATCTGTGAATGAGAGAAGAGGGCCAGCTCCCAAGCGGCAACGGTCTGAGCTGGGCTGGACTTGGACATCCACTGAGCCACGGAGACCGAGGCCTGTCTGCCTGGGGCAGCTGGGGACAGACTGGCTCTGACCCCCGTTCCCATCAATGGCCCCGCTGCATCCTGGACCCATGCTGTGAGTGTGGGGGATGGCCAAGCACAGCCAAAGGAGAAGGCTCCTTCTTGGAGCTTCCTGGGGCCAGGGTACAAGGCGTCTCTCTGTGGGTCTGCAGGGCTGTGAAGTAGAACAGAGCGCCCAGAGGAGTCATCTTGGCTATGGTCAAGCACCATGACTTTATCTGCCGAGGAGATGCATATGGCCTGTGGCACAGGGAGGCCTCCCTTTGCCCA